AATGATCTTTCCAAATGTTGTTTGTACCGTTAGCTAGCTATTGTAAAGCGCTTTGGATAAAAGCGTGCTCTCGCTCTCTCTAAACTTAATCATAACCTTTTTTTGTTCTACAAATAAAAGCACACAACTCATATTTTAATATCAGTAGTCTTATCTTTCTAATGCGATGGATGTGCCCTCTCCCCCCCGCCGCGGCAGCTCCCAAGCTGGGGCTGGGAAGGAGGGGGTGGGGGGTCTCTCCCCCGCCAAAGCAGCCACAGAGCTGAGGCTGGGAAGGAGGGCCCTCTTTCCCCAGCAGCCGCAGCCCTGGAGCTGAGGAAAGTCGCCTCTTTCTCTGGCCGCCACAGCCCTGCATGTCCCAAATTCCCCCCACCCCCTCTTCTGACCCCACTGCCCCCTCCCACCTACTGAGTATTCCCCCCCCCAAGGCCACCACTTCACCTTACATGTGCGTTTTCTCCAGGGTCCAGGCACCTAATTAGGTGGGTGGCCCTTCATTCTCCTGTGTCTGACTGTGCACCTTAGAGGGAACTATCCGCAGACCACCTGAATGGAGCTTGCAGACCACAGTTTGAGAACCTCTGGTCTAGATAATACTTAGTCCTGCCATGAAAGCAGGGAACTGGATTAGATGACCTCTTGAGGTCCGTTCCAGTTCTGTGACTTATAAAAATATTCCGCACCCAGCAATTCCCATTGAGAACAATAGAGAAATAACATTCCCCTCCCTCTCAGTGATGGAATTTTGGTTCTAAATGTCTGATCTGTGTACACATCATATGGTTATTTCTCAGCTATGCAGCATATGATTCTGGATTACAGTCTTAGTGGTCAATCATAATGCAGGGATTTGTATAGTTGCTGTAGAGTTATTTTTCAGTGACAGTACTTCAAACATACAATTCTCTCTGTGATAATCCTTTTGCTCTGTGTGGTTTTGGGTTCAGAATTTTCAAGCTGTTTTCCAGCAATGCAGACAGCGTTTCAGCCTCTTGCTTCCTTTAGCAGGAACCAAAAACGTCAGAAGTTTACAAGAAAGAGAAGGGCGAAATAAATCAAAAGCAAACAAAAGAAAATATACTTTAAAAATGCTTAAGAACCCACTGACTAACTTTCCTCCTCTTGAGCTCTGTTCCAGCCCTACATTTTTATGCTTTTATGATTCATGCTCAGTCTTTCTATTGAAGTAATTGGAAAATACTTTCAGTGACTTCAAGAAAATTTTCACTGATTTCAGTGGGATGGGCCCCAGTCTCACTCTTGGATCACACAGATCACATTTCAAAATCAGAACCTAGGATTGAGCCATTTCTCTTACTCCAAGTCCCTTCCTACAGTCCATTGGGTCTCGTCTCCACAATAAGCGTTGTATATTAGAGTTTTTAGTTTCTCTTGTTTGCTTGCACATGGTAAATCTTCTTTCCCAATTCAGTTTTGAAACAGTGTTACAAATGTATGGCAGATATTTTCAGGAGAAGGAGGAGCCTTGCTGACCTGTTGGGAGGAAAAAGGAGGTAGGGAAAGGAGATAAGAGGGAGGAAAGAAGGGGAATGAGGAAGAAAAAGGGGGGGAGGTAGGAGGAAGGGCCAAAATATAGTATTTTTAGAAAGCAATTTATCTTTCAGCGGTTAAGCGGTCCATTTTGTTTTCTCTAGTTTTTATTCTTTCATTTAAAAAAAATTAAATATTGAATTTCCTGTAGCACAGTAACATAGTGAAGTAATGGACAGTCAATAAGCTTTTCTAGGAAGTTGTATTTCAGTAACTGTAAATGGAAAAGTATCTATTTTAAACAAAGTATCTTACACTTGTGCTTCTGCAGTTCAGTTTTCCTGAAAAGCTACTGTCCTTTCTGTGGAAGTGCTTGTAGCACTGCATAATCAATTAAAATATACAACTGAAAACCATTATAAAATAGATAATTTAAAATTGAAACCAAATAGTAGTAGACAATCCTTGCTATTTAAGAGCTTGATTTTTGGCTTTCTTGCTCAAGCAACTGACCCTGAATCTTCATCATGAAAGCACCCACTCTTTCCCTCTCTCTGCACCTACATCATTTAAATGGTTTCAAAAGAACAAGAAATGGATTCTGGCTATACAGAACGGAAATTTTCATTGAAAATGCTACTTTATCAGTTAAGATATTTTTTCAAAATACAGTAGTTTCAATATTGTATTTCAGCTGACCTACAAAATATATATTTTTTTCTGGTTGCTCTTATTTAAAGGTAGTTTCCTGTTAAAGTTTATTCAGAAGATGACAAGTAGGCACTGGTGTGCTGTTCCCATTTTGTTTCTGTCTATGGCACTGGCCTGCATCCCATCATGTAAAGCATTGGGTACAGAAGGACTTCATGCTCTAAGGTAACACACTTCAGCGGTTTTATGTCCCTTACTTATGCACAGGTTCTGGGAGACTAATAAAACAATTCTGGGGAATGCACAGCAGAGTCTGACTCTTTTTGGGAAAATTTAAATCATCAAATGTAGTAAAAAGACTGAAAGCTTAAACTTGTAAAGAAACTTTTTTCCTCTATCCTTCCCCACTCTCTTCAACTATGGTCCAATAGAAAAGCTTTCACTTTTCACAAAGCGATCGCTCTATATCTGACCTATCAGTCCTTATCCGCAAAGGAAACCTGTACAACACTTTCAAAAGATGAGCCTGGGAGTTTAAATTCATAGCTGTGCTAGACACTAAAAATCATGGACTGAATAGAAACACTGGATTTATACCTTATTACAACAGTCTGAACCCACTGACAACCTCTCCTAGCTGCTGCTCCCTCCACTCTTCCTTTCCTCCCTGTGTCTGGAGAGGTGTTTAATGGGTCACTTCACCTTGAATGGTCCCTTGAAATATGTGTTAACTGCTTATACCACACAATCAGTTCAAATCTTGTATTTAGCAGTGACACTTTGAGTTGGGCCATGTCTACACTTACAAGCTTACAGTGGCACAGCTGTACCAACACATAAGGTTGCTCAAGTAGCTGCATTACACTGATGGGAGAGCGCTCTCCCGTCGACATAATAAAACCAGCTCAACCAATGGCGGTAGCTATGTTGACGGGAGAGTGTGGTGACTGGTGTTTATGCTGGCAAAACTATGTTGCTTGAGATGGGTGTCTTTTTTTTCCCCCCACACCTCCGAGCAACAAAAGTTTTGCGGACAGTGCTAGTGTTGTCATGCCTTAATTTCCCAGACCTGAAGAAGAGCTCTGTGAAAGCTCTAAAGCTTCTCTCTTACCAACAGAAGTTGGTCCAATAAAAGATATTACCTCATCCACCTGGTCTCTCTAATATGCTGGGAGCAACATGGGTATGACTACACGGCACACTTACTAATACAAATTTTCGTGTTCTTCAGAGGCTTTGACTCAGTAAAGAGACATCTTCATTAAGCGAGCACTTTTGCATATTCCTAGTATCTAAGAATATAAGTACAGTAGTAAATTAAGCAGCATTAAACAGGTGTAGTCAATAGCATTCTGATTAAAGAACACAATTAAAGTGAATGTGAGGGACAAATTGTGAACCTTGTGGCAAATTTTTCTCCCATGTTGGTCTTGGTTGGTTCCCTAATGGATATGCCAAGCTCTAGTGGCAGAAAGTCTGCCTTGAGAGGTATTGGCAGCAAGCACAACCCTCTTGTAAGCCCTGACACAGTACCATTTTTGCAGCTAATTACCACAACCCACATAGCACATGACGCTGGCTGGGAAGGAGTTATGGTCAGGGCACAAAAATGATGTGCTAATTCAGTGTATTTCCTGGCTTCCTTTGCCACTAAGGATCTTGTGGCGAACCCTCTGGAATGTAAAGCTACTCTCCTCTGGTGAACTTCCAAGTGAAAGCAATATTTCAAATGGTGCTTACCCTCTTTTAAGGGTGAATTCCCCAATTTGGGTAAAGCTATGTCCGCTTGCTTAGAGGCGATACAGTTTGCACTCCAGTTCTTACCCATCCAGTGGGGGTGAATTAACTCATAGACTGCAGTTTTTAGGGAAAACTTGATTTAATTGGAGAGCTCTTCAGTGGGTGATAGTGCCTATAACCTATGTGTTTAACATTAGAAGGTTCTTTTGCAGTACTCATGGCAATATTACATAATCATTAATTACGGAGGCATTGGTCATGAATTTATAGTTAAGGTGAAATCCGTTTTCATTTCAACAGGCACTTTAAACTTTTATTAACATGGCCAAAACCTAGATTGTAAATTTTGAGTACAATTTGAATTTTTCATGTTGGTTTGAAAATTGGGTTGATTCAGAGAGAATAATAATTCCAAAATAATCCCCCTTTTGAAGTTTTTCAATGGATTGTTTCATCTTTCTTGGATTCTCTTTTGCAGGACATCTAAGACATTGGGCTCTTTGCTTTGCTCCATGTGCTGCTCCGTATGTGCTGATTAATACAATATCAATTACAAATACATAGTGCTTGTGATTGTCATGACTTTCACTTTTTCCTCCATAAATGGAAAAAGAAATGCACCAGGATGAACCCACCATATTTAGCACTAATGATGTAATACTTCTATTCTGATGAAATCATCTGTGGGTTGGTGAGAGAGACAGAGGAAGGTCAATCAGCCTATCCACCCACCAAATACCTTTTAAGCAAGGAGAAATTTTGTGAGCTGGGCAAGAGACAACCATGGGCCTCATGCAGGTCCCCACTCTTACTGTTGACCAAAGGCATGAATGTGGATCCTAGAATGTAGACGATTAAGAGCTGCCACTGCATTAGGCAAACAAGTTAATAGCAGGAATAGGATTCTAATGTGGTAGACCCAGATTTTAGCTATTTGGCTGCATTGCCTTTCAGATAGGATAATCAAATCACATTCAGTCTCTAACCGCTCAGCTTCATGCTTCACCCAGAGTCAGCAATAAAACCCTGGATTCTTCAAATAGTGTCCCTAAGGGTGCTCCACTTCAGGTGTGCGTGTGCCACACAAACCCTTGATCTAACTCCTCTTTCCCCTCAGAGAGAGGTTTTTTGGTTTGTTTGGGTTTTTTGTAGCAGGGAATGCCTGGCTCTCCAGGTTTCAGATGATGTCTCTCCTGTACTTGAGTGATGGGCTTAAAGTGTTTCCATTGCTTGGGGGAGTTCTACGTCTCCAGGTAGTTAAACTTCTGCCTGACCCTCAAGTCCAGGGCAAGGAAAAACAGGGAGATTAAAAGCAGACTGCTAATGAAGGATCACTTCCTTTGGCCAGCTTCTGAGTTAGGTCAGGAGCCACCCCCCAACTCCTCCGTGCCCTTCCCCCCCAGATGGGGAAGGCATCCAAAAAGAGTGGGCTTAAGGAGCCAGCTCCAAAAAGTCCAGGTGAGATCCACAATCTCTGAAGCTTCAACCTCTTGACTTGGTACCATTGAGTTGAAGGACTCCTCCTCCAGTACTAGTGGGACCGTAAAGTCCCAGAGCATGAAGGAGAGACATGGCTCCAGTAGGGTCTGGGTACCTTCTATCAGCAAGGAGGGGAAGCATAGACACTTGGGACTGGCACCACCAAGTTCAGCATAGCTGTCAGAACCCATGCATGTGGCATCCTCAGCTAGACACCATTGGCATCTACTTCAGTACATCAATCATCAGCTTCAGTGACTGTGGCCTTGAATACTGCGTCAGTACCACAGGAGTTCAGATATACTAAGGACTTCTCAATAACAGATGAACCGGAGTCCCTGCTCCTGGTGGGTACTGAGAATCTCTCGGTACTAAGATCCCGATCTCTAGACTACTGTTGGCTGGACTACAGGACTCTACCGTTTTCTACATGTGCTCCTCCATTGGATGAGATGGAGGAGGATGAAAGTGACTTCCAGTCAGTCTCCTCTATTTCTGTTCATGGTTCTCTAACATGTTCCTTCAGAAACACGTTCTTTGAAAGTCATAGGGAAGATTGGACTCATTGAGGGTGGTGGAACCAACCCTGCATGCCATTCCCACTTCTGTACTACAGGCCCTGCCAATGACCATACTGGGTTGCCCATCAACAACAATTTTCCAGATTGCTGGTTTCCAGTTCACTCGGCCCCTGTCCCTGGCAACTGGGCCAAGGTGGGGGGCAGCCTGCTGCCACCATCACCTCCCCAGCCAGGCTCTCTCTCAGGCAGCTGCTGCTCTGCACAGAGCAGTGACCTAGAGCAGCCGGCGTGAGAAGTTGCTGGTCCTGCCCCTTCTGCTCCCTGCCCGGGCCCGGTTGTCAGGGACAGGGGGCAGGTGCAGTGGAGGACAGAGTCCCCTCCTCGCACCCCGGCAAGCCAAGCAGAAATCTGGAGGTGGGGCACTTAACCCCGCATGCTCCCCTACGTATCACCTATGAGGAACTGTCTTCAGTAGCTGGGACACATGGCAGCTTGCACCTTTGTGAATGATCACACAAAGCTGTGTATCCACCGCCTCCAGGGTTGGCTCAGAATGACCTGTTCTCCAGTCAGACACACCTTGGGCAGACAGGTGACAGTTCCTTTACGAAGTGAGGAACCCCTTAGACTATGGGAGGATCAACTCAATGTCTGTGCAGGCATTCCTTTCTGTAGTGCAGCCCCATCAGTGACTTTATCACTATTGGGATGGGGAGCCCATCTCCATACCCTCACGACTCAGGGCAAATGGAGAACTCAAGAAACCAGTCTCCACGTCAATCTGTTGGAGAATAGGACTGTCAGGAATTCTTGCTTTCATTTCCTACCCTTCATCATGGGCAAATCAATCAAGGTCATGCATTCCATATCAACAAGCAAGATCCCCCTCCTTGTGTGCTGAAGCCATGAAATTATGGAATTGGTGCATGGTTCATTAAATCCAAATATCAGTGGTCTACCTCTCAGGCATTCAGACCATCATAGCCAATTTCCTCAGCATACGCTTCTCACAGGATTACGAATGGGATCTAGAACCCAAGTTCACAGCATATTCCAAAAATGGGGACTGCCAGAAGTGGATGTCTTCACCACCTCCAGGAACAGGATCTGTCCTCTTTTCTGCTCAAGAGGGGGTCTGGGCCACCAGTCCTTGGGAGATGCCCTTCTTCTATCTTGGAAGAAAGTTCTCTTCTATGCGTTTCTCCAATGCTGCTGATACTAAGAGTGATGAACAAGATCAGACAGGGCACAACCAGAATTATCCTTCCAGTGCAACCTGGCTAAGAGACGGTTGGCACCCTTACCTTCTACATGTATGTGTCAGTTCTCGTTCAGGCTCCCAACCATTCCTCGTTACCTGTCACAGGATGCGGGTTTTGTGCTTCATCCCAACCAGTGGTTCTCCACCTCCGATAGTTCACGTGGTTAGAATCCTCTTGCTCTATGGAAGTACAAGTGTTAGTAGAAAGAGATCAACCTGCACTACTTATCTGAAGAAATAGAAGAGATTCTTCTATTAGTGTTGTTGTCACTCCCTCCTGCCTGATTTGGTGCTACTTTCAGTCATCCTAGATTGTCTTTTGGATCTATGGAAATTTGGATTATCAGTTCTATTAAGGTCCATTTGACTGCAATATCAGACGTTCATTCTCTGGTAGATGGTTTCTTCATATTTGCTCATCTGGTTTCGTCTAAGTTTATTAAGGGTCTGAGAAGTGACAACCCGCAGATTAAAGACCCTACCCTGACCTGGGACCTCAACCTGCTACTCAGTTACCTTAGGAAACCACCATTCAAACCAATGGCAACCTGTTCTCTGTTGCATTTATCTATGAAGACAGCATTTTTAGTAGCCATTACGTTGGCCCATAGGGTCTGGCAGATTGGAGCCTTGATGGCAGATCCTTTTCGCCCCTCCTCCCCCCAACATTCTTTAAGGACAAGGTCTCTTTACATCCACACCCTAAATTCTCACCTAAGGTTATATCGGAATTTCACCTTAATCCATTCAGCTACCAATGTTATTCCCAAAGCCACATAGTTCTCTACAGGAATCCAGTTTACATACCCTAGATGTTAGAAGGGCATTGATCTTCTACTTAGATAGGGCCAAGCAATTTAGGAAGTCACCTAGGCTCTTCATTTCCTTCACGGATAGATCTGCATGGTCCTTGAGCTCTACTCAGAGACTGTCAGGATGATATCTAGATGTATTATCACTTGTTATGATGCTGCAGGTGTTCATCCCCTCCAAAGGATGATAGCACATTTAGCCAGATTGTAGGCACTATCTACAGCATTAACAAAGAATGTACCTGTATCTAAAGTATGCAGGGCCGCTACATGGGCTTTAGTACATATGTTTTTGAAACATTACTCTCTGATCCATGCGGTCAGATCCGATGCGGCACTTGGTTCTACCGTACTGTCTTCAGTTCTGGACTGTTTCAAACCTCCCTCTTCCATCTAGGGATATTGCTTGGAAGTAATCTGAAGTGGCGCACCCATAGGGACACTACTCAAAGAAGAAGAGGTTACTCACTTTGTGCAGGAACTGCGGTTATTCAAGATGTGTGTCAAAATACAGATATTTTACATTTCAGTCATTTGTCAGCTCCTCTTCCTTCCTTGATCCTGGAACCTACCAACTGAGGTACACCAACCTTGTATAAAAAGAACTAGAAAACAAACACAAAAAATGTAGTTTAGTGACGGTTAGAGTTGTGTCAGGACACACTCAACCAACTCAAAATCTGAAACACATGAAAATGAAAAACTAAGGGAAAAGTATCTGGCATTCACATTGCCTATAACACTTAATAATACACTCCATCAGTCTGTAAGGCTTTTGCTTTTGTCTCCAACAGATACTGAAAACCAATGCTCATCGCAACATAATCAACTTTGAATTCTAGCACAAAATCTTATCGATGACCTCAGCAATGTTAAGGGAGTAATTTCCCAAATGCATGGAATGTATGACAGGCAGATGTGCCAATCTGGTGATACAGGAGCATCTGAGATCACTGTTAAGGTTTTGTGATAGAGTGAGAATGTAATGAACTCTGGGTACATATTACTTTTCGATATCTGTTAGAGATGTAAGTGAATGAAAGCCTTCTGAATTGTTGGAGTGTTTTACCAACAGCGTTGTAGGCAATGTGAATGTGACATGGAATAGAGGCCCTTACCTTTTCATTTCCAGGCTTTTCAGATTTTGAGTTGGTGTGTTTTGTCCTTATGCAACCTTAATTGTCACTGAACAAAAGTTTTTTGTGTTTATTTAGAATCATAACCCCACTTGTTTTTGATTGTGTGCTCTTCAGGGGAGGAATTATATCATCTTGTATCTTTAGAAAGTGCAGCGCACGTTCTGAATGCTCCTGCATTCTTAATATATTGATCACTACAGTTAAAATATAGTTGGTAAATATGTATTTTAAGAGCTACCTAATCTGTTTATAATTTAAGGTGCATATTTATCCATTTGCAGAGATGTCCTGCAGTGCACTATGATCACACATCAGATTTTGTTGCGGGGAGCTGCTCAGTGTTTTCTTCTCCAAACAGCTATGCATTTGACAGATGTGGTAAGTTCTTTTTTTTCCTAGTGTAATGTTTTATTTTTCAGAGATGATAATGCAATATGTAAGTGCTGCCAAATAGAACTTGAGCAGCTGATTTTACTGAATTTGTAGTTTTGGCAATGTCCATTTTAAAAATGTGCTTGAGTGATGTAGGTCTGTATGCTAATACTAATAATTCTTTTAACTTTATTTTTCATATGAAACAACTTGATCCTTTTTATTCAGCATTTCATTTGCAGTACTTTATTGATAATATTTGTATTACTGCAATGCCTAGAAGCATGGACCCAAGATCCTGTTGTGCTAGGTGCCATATAAACACTTATTTAACAATTAAAATTTAATATTAAAGAGACTTTCAAAATGACATAAAAGATTTTAAAACGATATTTATAATGTTAGCATGATGACTTTATAGTCAGGTTAAAATATCGCTTTCATTTTAGAATCTTGAATATAAGTTGTCTAATTCTCAAATTATTTTATGGGACTGACATTTTTCATGCTCGGTGTTGAATCAGAAGGAAATCCTTCCCCTCTTTCTCCTCTATAACATCACAAGAGTTTGTCTGGGCACTTTTAAGCTATAAAATGTGGTTCAAAAATTTTCAAATGATTTTGATGCTTTGGATAGCTCAGAAAACTTTCTTCTTAAACTTCAAACTTGACCTCAAACAAGGATCATGCTTTTATCTTGATTGATGTAATTCAATAGAATTCCTGGATAAAAACTATATATTTAACTGCAGTTAAGGCTGAATACATATCAGTAATGTAAGGGTAAAGTATTACAGCTATGTTGTAATTGTTGCAAATAAATAAATAAATAAATAAAAAGGGCAATAGAAACCCAGGAAATCCAGAGTTAATGTTACACTTAAAAGAAATCCAAATGTAAGTAGAAACGGCTTCTCTCCACCTTAAAGACTCTGCTCCTGTTCCTTATCTACTCTTGTCTCTGATAGCATTAGCTTCCTGCCTCTTCCATCAAGTGATGCTAGTCCTGACTGCCTGTTGTTCACCCTCTGATAAATGTTTCTCTGCCTTTTTCATTTATACCAGCAATGTGTGTGTGTTCTCCTTGAACAAAGCCCTCTCCTCAGGCCTCATTTCTTTTGTGAAGCCTACAAGACATTGGCCATCTAACAGCGGATAGGCTGATGGTGTAATTGAGTTCAATTTATATGTTTTAATTTAAAAAAAAAGACCCTGATGTATATAATGTATATAAAACCTACATGATATAAATACATACTTTTGATTGTATCCCTCTTTCCCTCCATTCACGTGTGTCTTGCTTTCTTAGATTATAAACTCTTTGGGGTAGGGGATGTCTTCTTGCTAGGACAATGCATAGCACATGGTGAAGACTACTACTAATCAATAATACTAATGCATTGTTGTTTGCTTATCACCTAACAGCTACGGTGGTAGGTTAATAATAATTTCCTGCAAAGTAGCAATTCCCAACCAGTGGTATTTGGAGAACTTACTATCATACAGTTGCTGTCTTCTTTTTTTTTTTTTTTAAATCTGCTAAATCTCTTTTAGAATAATCTAAAATTACTTTCTTTCCTAATGTATTTCCACATAAGCAATTGCTGTAGTTGCCATAAGGATGTCATATGATCATCAGTGAGAATGGAGGTGTTTGTGACTGAATGAAAGGGGAGTGCACAGTACTCTTGCTTATGCCTGATAGCCACATGAAAGGTTCTCTTTTGTATTCTCCACCCCATTTTCTTTTGTCTGCTAATACAGCTGCTTACCTTTTCTCTTTGCTGTCTCAGATTTTGCTGTGGCTGACCATGAGCTGACCTGAGCAGGGCTTCCTGTGAAAAGGCAGAAACAGAAGAATTAGTCAGGGGCTTCTAAATATCTAAAATTAATATAATTAAGGTTGTCCATTTACACACCCTGCCCCTCACTTAAAAAAAAAAAGCCATCAGTGAATACCTCGCTTCAAGCCATTCATTCGCCTTCAGTGTACATCTCTATATGGGTACATCAGACTGTAGGAAAATGAACTGTGTTTGTGTCCTGAAAAAAGGCAAAAATGAATATTTCTGGAAAGTTTATATCCCTGTGGTAATAAATTGGGGGTGGGAGGGAAAAGATGATTTTCTTATTGAAACATTTGCCAGATGAAAGAAAACTCGTCTCAGTTTCACACTAAAATATTACGTGTGTATGTGAGTGTGTGTGTGTTGGGGACTAATGAACCTTAAATAATGTCTTTAGGAGAAAGTGTCACTTCCAGAGATTTCAAGTTTTCTCATGTCTCTTAGACCAGAGGAGTCTTTAAGCAGAGGGACTATACTATGGATGGAGGTGAGAATTGAAACTGCTGCTGGTTTTGTGTTAATCAAAATGTTCTGTAATATACTGTTCTGATCTATTGGTATTAGTTATAGCTAATGTTTTAATTCTCTAATATATGCATGTGAACTAATTTTCAGTCCCTTTTGCACTGGCACATCTGGCGCTTCTGGCACTGAGTGCTAATTGATTTGTGCTTTGTATCTGTACCTTGTAACATGTAACACTAAGGAGGGGATTAATTTTAACCCTCAACCTGCTATCCAGCAGGTAATTAGTCAGAAGATGTTAATATGTACCTCCATTGTGTGAGAGGGTAAGGAAGAAGGGGAAGGTTGTTTTTTTCTTTTCTCCTGCAGAGCACCTGAATTCTGCACAAGAGCAGCTTTCTCCTGAGGGCAGAGCTTCTGTTGCACTTCAAAGCAGCATAAGAGCTGGAGCTGAGCTCATACCGGACTTGTATGCCCTGCTTTGCCACAGCATTCTCCAGAGAGAGAACATGAGCTAATTTGTAACTTTTGTGTTTAGCCCTATCCTAGTGCAAATCAGAATCAGTTCTTTCATGCACACTTTTGGTGCCCAAATACTTGTTCTACAAAAGACTTCCAGGCATCCACAGTGCCAGCCTGCTTTCTTCCTTGCCATTCCCTTGGAAATTAAGGCAACAGTTTGGGGAGCCTGTACTGGTGTCTGTAATCTTTTCCATCAGAGATCTATGCTCACTGCATTAGATCAGTGGTAACTTCATGGAGAGAAAGTGAAGCAGGACTTCTTATGAGATATTCAGAGCCACGAGTTGGGCATCTCCCTCTGCTTTTATTAACGATACAAGATGGATGTAATATCCTTGGCTGAAGCTGCCCTTCAAGCAGTTATTCCTGTATTACATGTTTTTTCTTTTCTTCATTGTAGGTACTTTCCTCCCCCACTTTTTCCCCTACTACTTGCTGTTTTTCAGAAATTACAAAGTTAGCGCCAGGGTGGATTTGATTTAAATCATGATTTAAATCACTAGTCAGGAAGACTCGATTTAATCATGGATTTCTACATAGAAGTGCATTCTTGTTGGTTGTTATAACCTTAATACATATTCTTCACAACTCAGAGGTAGATGTAGGTTTCGTTTTTAGAAGGTACATACTATACATTTTTAAAGTGATTTATTTTGAAAACTTTTCAGGTGAGTTTTACATCAGAAAATGAATGATTGGTTATTTCATTTATCAAAGGTAATTGAAGCAGATATTTATGAAGTCATTGGGAGGTGAACTATCTCCAATTCAATAGGTTAATCATTAATATTTGGAGGATTTTCTTGCCAAGCAGTATTAGGAGGAGAACGTCACCAGACAGACACTTACATTGTTTTATTTAACTAAAACAACAACGTTATGTATTCTGGATTTTTTTCTTCAACAGCCAACATAATATTTTAACAAAACAAGCATATGAATTTTTGAATTTATTTAAACATTAAAGTTTTTTAAAATCAGGTTTGTTTTTGTTAAAATCATTTTTAACTAAAATAGTTACATGGAAATATTAAAAAAAAATTAAATAGATTGTGTCAGCCAGGTCAATATGAGAAACTTAAAATATTGGCTTCTGCAGGTAACTCCGGTCATCTTCACATTCATTTTCCTGTTTGTTCATAATCTGGAAAAGAAAAACAAGCTTTCCTGCTTTTTCAGGTCCCAAACAATTTCTCAATTTGGAATGAATTAGTCCAAAGGAAGAAAATTTACTTTCTACACTTGCAGAAGAAGCTACTGCTGTTAAGAGTGAGATTATCACTTCAGCAGTCTCTGAATCAAGTGCTTAAGTGACTTCCACCAGTTCACTGGTGTGACTTTCTTTAAAACATCAGCAAACATGTATTTCTTGAATAATTCACCCTTAGCTCTGAAGTTTATTATAGTTGGCATTATGGAGGGATAGGGTGACCAGATGACAGGAAGAAAATATCGGGACACGGAAGGGGGGGGGGGGGAGGGGGGTCACTGGCGGAAGACAAAAAAAA